AACAGGAAAGGTATTCATACAAAATTAGTCGAACGAATCGTATTTTAGTCCGATACAATTAGTACAATATCAGTGTTTGAAAACATCCTCTCTATCTTATTTCATAATTATTCATTTTTTCCATTTTTGTGTTTGAAAACATTGGACAACTTTAGTTTTATCTCTTTAATCTTATTTCAATTCCATCAGATCAATCATTTGATATTCTTGAAAGTGTAATTAGAATTTGTCTCATTTGAGAACGTAACATTTCTTACTTGGAGTGACCAAGATTAACATGACGGGTGTCGTCAATGAAGCAGAAAAGTTTACTCTTCCAGAACACCTGATGTTTTTCTCGTTGTTCTCTCAGGAGTCTCCGTGATAATCTTTCTTTTGTTCATATATTGCTTAGTTTTATTAAGTTTGGATTATGATTGTGTTGACATGTTGGTGTATTCGTGTTGTATGTATAAAGGGCCATATCATATTATCATTCACTATTGTTCAAAATAGTTGATCAAAACAAGATGTACATTTTGAACCGCCGGATTCATGCTTCAATGAACCTTGTTTTTTATTTACTTAAAAGTGAGGTTTTAACAAGACACACGCCGAATCATCCACCATCGAACAAAAAATCATTGAGGATTTTAATTGATAACTTCATATCTGCGTATGATCAGCATCCATATTATAATAATTATAAGAAAGTTATCCTATAAGTACATTAAAATATTTCTATCATTGAATGTATTACTGGAATAGACATTAAAACGAAACTGATGAAAAGAATCGTCCTTACAGGCGGGAGTAAAATTGATGGCCATTGTTGTCATTAAATGTCCTAGCAATTGATACAGTGGATGTCGCTAAATGAATAACCTACAATGTACAATTCCCCTTGAATTATTGTCCATTAACTAGTCAGAAAGCTTTAAATTCGCCCTCAGCTGATGGTTAAATAAATGTTTGGTTCCATCCTCACCTGATGGTTTGATATAGGTTTAGTTCCGCCCTCAGCAGACGGTTTAATGTAGAATATTTGGTTCCGCCTTCAGCTGATGGTTAAATAAATGTTTGGTTCCACCCTCAGCTGATGGTTAAATATAGAAGGTTTGGTTCCATCCTCATCTGATGGTTAAATATAGAAGGTTTGGTTCCGCCCTCAGCTGATGGTTAAATATAGAAGGTTTGGTTCCATCCTCATCTGATAGCTAAATATAGAAGGTTTGGTTCCGCCCTCAGCTGATGGTTTGATGTAGGTTTTGTTACGCCCTCAGCTGATGGTTAAATATAGAAGGTTTAGTTCCGACCTCAGCTGATGGTTAAATATAGAAGGTTTGGTTCCGCCCTCAGCTGATAGTTAAATATAGAAGGTTTGGTTCCATCCTCATCTGATAGCTAAATATAGAAGGTTTGGTTCCGCCCTCAGCTGATGGTTTGATGTAGGTTTTGTTACGCCCTCAGCTGATGGTTAAATATAGAAGGTTTAGTTCCGCCCTCAGCTGATGGTTAAATATAGAAGGTTTGGTTCCGCCCTCAGCTGATAGTTAAATATAGAAGGTTTGGTTCCATCCTCATCTGATAGCTAAATATAGAAGGTTTGGTTCCGCCCTCAGCTGATGGTTTGATGTAGGTTTTGTTACGCCCTCAGCTGATGGTTAAATATAGAAGGTTTGGTTCCGCCCTCAGCTGATAGTTAAATATAGAAGGTTTGGTTCCATCCTCATCTGATAGCTAAATATAGGTTTGGTTCCGCCCTCAGCTGATGGTTTGATGTAGGTTTTGTTACGCCCTCAGCTGATGGTTAAATATAGAAGGTTTAGTTCCGCCCTCAGCTGATGGTTAAATATAGAAGGTTTAGTTCCGCCCTCAGCTGATGGTAAAATATAGAAGGTTTAGTTCCGCCCTCAGCTGATGGTTAAATATAGAAGGTTTAGTTCCGCCCTCAGCTGATGGTTAAATATAGAAGGTTTTGTTACGCCCTCAGCTGATGGTTTGATGTAGGTTTTGTTACGCCCTCAGCTGATGGTTTGATGTAGGTTTTGTTACGCCCTCAGCTGATGGTTAAATATAGAAGGTTTTGTTCCACCCTCAGCTGATGGTGAAATATAGAAGGTTTGGTGTTGCCCGCAGTTTTTGGTTGTCGAATCCCATTTTTTCAAAGAAAAAAAAACTATTGTGAAATTAATAGACTGATATCTGACTTTCCTATTAACCTACGTATCAATTCAGTTTCCTGAGAGTTCAGGCCACTACATTATATGTGATAAGGATAAATTGGCCTACAAATCGCTTGGATGGAATTTTTGTGGTGGGTTTTGTTACTGAAGACATGTTAACAATGGAAAGCAATGCTGGATAGAATTGGTAAGGATATCTCCACTGCAGCATTGTGTAATTATGTAATATATTGATATTCATATATATTTTGATCTGACGATGACGCTTTGGGGCTATGTTGTGTATACTGATGTAATACCGAAACAAGACTGCCTCGACTGTTCAAAAGATGACATGTGAAAATTAATCGTAGAAAATTAACATAATGAACCATTCATTATTCTCCTGAAGATAAATTCATAGAATATATCGAATTGAAGTATTGTTTGGTGCATGAAGCTACATAATAACAGGAAACAGTCCTGTAGCGAAACTAATAAGATACGTATTTGTCCAATCAGAACTCCTCAAAAACAAAAAAAAAAAACAAAAAAAAAAAAAAATTGATAAGCTTCTTTCCTTACCTCAGGGAGTGCTGTTATCAATATATTGTTAGCAAGAATCTCCTAGGTTGTCTCAGCTCTGACCACCCTATATTTGCAGGTAAATCCTAGTTTGTCTCAACTATGACCACCTCATGTTTGCAGGTATCTCCTCGGTTGTCTTAACTCTGACCACCCCATGTTTTAAGGTATCTCCTTGTAGGTCTCCACTTTGACCGCGCCATGTTTGAAAGTATCTCCTTTGTTGCCTCAATTCTGACCATCCCGTGTGTGCAGGTGTCTCCTTGGCTGTCTCCAATTTGACCACGCTATGTTCGCAGGTGTCTCCTTGGCGGTCTCCACTATGATCGTGACATGTTTGCGGTTGTCTTCTTGGCTGTCTCCACTATGACCGCGACATGTTTGCAGGTGTCTCCTTGTCTGTCTCCACTTTGACCGCGACATGCTTGCAAGTATCTCTTAGGTTGCCTCAACTCTGACCGACCCATGCTTGCAGGTATCTCCTGGGTTGCCACAATTCTGACAACCCAATGTTTGCAGGTGTCTCCTTGGCGGTCTCCACTTTGATCGCGCCAAGTTTGCAAGTATCGCCTTGGCTGTCTCCACTTTGACCGCGACATGTTTGCAGGTGTCCCCTTGGCTGTCTCCACTTTGACCGCGCAATGTTTGCAGGTTTCTCCTTGGTGATCTCCACTTTGACCGCGACATGTTTGCAGGTGTCTCCTTGGATGTCTCCACTTTGATCGCGACAAGTTTGCGAGTATCGCCTTTGCTGTCTCCACTTTGACCGCGCCATGTTTGCAGGTGTCTCCTTGGCTGTCTCCACTTTGACCGCGCAATGTTTGCAGGTTTCTCCTTGGTGATCTCCACTTTGACCGCGACATGTTTGCAGGTGTCTCCTTGGATGTCTCCACTTTGATCGCGACAAGTTTGCAGGTGTCTCCTTGGCTGTCTCCACTTTGACCGCGCCATGTTCGCAGGTGTCTCCTTGTCTGTCTCCACTTTGACCGCTCCATGTTCGCAGGTGTCTCCTTGGCTGTCTCCACGTTACAACCGTATCTAGGTCAACAATAAAAGAAATAATTCCCAGAAAACGTTTCAGAGAATCGCCAGGGATACCACAAAAAAATCTCTTTTGCACTCTACGAGAATATATTGATATAAACGTTATATATATAAAGAAGGCATGCCCTACATCAATGAGGGTAGCGATTCATACAGAAAGTGGTTAGTGATGCATGTACAATCATTCATTTACCTAAGTATCATAAATGTAGATATTGCAGTTTAATTCACATTCTTTACTCTTTTTACTCAATTTTTGAACTTAAAAACTCGGACAAGCGGTGGTCCATATTTAGTGTCAACAGCATGTAGTACAGTATACTGTGCCACTCTCTACGCTTACTTGTTTTTGTGTTTAAAAATGACAGAATTTATCAAATAGTGTATCAAACTAGTTAATTAATACCTTGCCAAGTACTCCATTTTCACATTCAAATATAATGAAGATGTCTTGTCTCTATGAAAAAATTATTGACCATTCATATTGTATATACCACAAGAATTTGATATCATGGACATGTCAGACTCTTCTTCATCAGTCAACTATCTCGATCTTTTCCTCCAACGAAAATAACATGGACAGCTTTCCACCAAGCTGAATCATGAGCCAGAAGATTTCCATTTTCCTATTGTATTTTTGTCATTCCCGAATGGCAATATTCTTGTTTCCTCAAGTTTGTTTTTGTGTTTAAATGTCGTAGTTGATTCGACATTGAAGGGCTTGTTTCCAGTATCATGATTTTCGTGCAAACTGATGGTGACTGGCAAACTCACAACACAGAGTTTCGAGAGATTAAGCGTGATTACGGGGATTTTACGATCGTCAAAATGTATTTACCGCTTGTTTGTTTACTTTGTTCTCATGATTGAATTTGTCTATCACATGTCTATCACATACCAGAATTAGACATCAAGGACACAACAGATTCGTCTACACCAACGCCTTACCTCGATCTAACCGAAAACGAAATCTACAAAGATGTCTTTCCACCAACCTATATGATAAGCTTAATGATTTCGATTGCCATATCGCGCATTTTCTATTTAGAAAATAGCAACAATTTGGTGAGTTATTCAGAGATGCGGGTTGATTTAGTTAATGTGTATGGCTATGTTATGGTTCTACGTGTTGCCGACAATTCAGTATTGTAATGTGTTCTGTTAAGTAATGAGCTCGACAAAGATATTTCTTCACATTTTATTTATCTTCGTCGAAAAATCCTGTAATCAGTGTATGGTCGCTGAGTGGGTATAGTTATATTTGGTCCAAGTCCTGATCTCAGCATACAGTGAATCTCCGGGACAGTCGGTGTTGCCAACATCTCGGTGACCATACAAACTGTAGTCACCTTCAATATAACCTTTGCTGACCCCGCATTGAGCAAGCGCCTTGGCAGCGTTACGGGATTCTTCTGAAGGTAGACTGTTCATAAAGTTACCCATGAACGAAACCGCGTAACCGAGTGAGTTGTAGTGCAGCGTATGCGCGCCAACGACGCCCCATCCCCTACCCTCATACACACGTCCGTCCTGACCAATAAGGAAGCTGTAGCCGATGTCATTGTAACCTTTAATTGAAAAAAAAATTAGAAAATTTAACTTAAAAAGAAGTATACCTTTCAAAATTAAATCTCCACTTAAACACACATAGCTTTGTTAAATTGTAAAAGAGTGAACATTTCAGGAAACACTAAAATTCAACTTTATGCTCGTCCTCTCCGGAAGCAAAGGACATTCAATTTACGTTGTACAAATGTGGCTAAAGGAAGACATCATAATTAATTTCACCATAATGTCCTTTGTCCAAATACATTGGATTGCTTCGCGATAATGAGACTAGACGAAACGAAGGTATTGTTACAAAAAGCTATTTGATATGAAATCATTACTGTCTTACAACATTACTACAATTAATTATAAATACATATCTACAGCGAGACGCTGTGGTGATAATAGGAAACTATCGATCCATTTACAACACACTAGGGTACATTTTTTAAATAGTTTGATATAATATGTTATATAGGATCAAGTGGCTTATTGATCTGTTCTGATATTGATTTAAATTAGATTTAGTGATGAAACATACATGTACCACTAATGTTTTAACACTTTCTCCCAGAAACATCATCCGTTACCATAGAATCTCAAATATCGACTAAGTTCCGGTTTGTATCATTGAATGTAGTATAAATAACGCGACATTCTGACGTACAACTGAACAGAGCCAGATATCTAACTCACAACATGTGATATTCGGAGGAGACCCAATTCTCATCCCCATGTACGATTAGTATGATATTCACCCTTAGTTTGATGAATACCACCTCTCGATCTCGATATACCTTTATCGTCTTTTGAGAGTTGAATGTCACCCACCTCTTAGACTGTTTTGTTATCTGTACGGTACCCAACTCTTAGACTGTTTTGTTATCTGTACGGTACCCAACTCTTAGACTGTTTTGTTATCTGTACGGTACCCAACTCTTAGACTTTTTTTGGTTATCTGTACGGTACCCCACTCTTAGACTGTTTTGTTATCTGTACGGTACCCAACTCTTAGACTGTTTTGTTATCTGTACGGTGACTGTTTTGTTATCTGTACGGTACCCAACTCTTAGACTGTTTTGTTATCTGTACGGTACCCAACTCTTAGACTGTTTTGTTATCTGTACGGTACCCAACTCTTAGACTGTTTTGTTATCTGTACGGTGACTGTTTTGTTATCTGTACGGTACCCAACTCTTAGACTGTTTTGTTATCTGTACGGTACCCCACTCTTAGACTGTTTTGTTATCTGTACGGTACCCAACTCTTAGACTGTTTTGTTATCTGTTCGGTACCCAAATCTTAGACTGTTTTGTTATCTGTACGGTACCCAACTCTTAGACTGTTTTGTTATCTGTACGGTACCCCACTCTTAGACTGTTTTGTTATCTGTACGGTGACTGTTTTGTTATCTGTACGGTACCCAACTCTTAGACTGTTTTGTTATCTGTACGGTACCCAAATCTTAGACTGTTTTGTTATTGTTACCCAACTCTTAGACTGTTTTGTTATCTGTTCGGTACCCAACTCTTAGACTGTTTTGTTATCTGTACGGTACCCAACTCTTAGACTGTTTTGTTATCTGTACGGTACCCAAATCTTAGACTGTTTTGTTATCTGTACGGTACCCAACTCTTAGACTGTTTTGTTATCTGTACGGTACCCAACTCTTAGACTGTTTTGTTATCTGTACGAGACCCAACTCTTAGACTGTTTTGTTATCTGTACGATACCAACCTTTCGAGATCCAATGGTAAATAGTTGTTAGAGTGTTTCTGTGAACTGTCTTGTATTTCACCTCAGCAGTATCTGTGATTGTTTTAAATTGTGTGCTAACCTCTGGAGTCCATGTGGTAGTTCTGTACACCCTGTAGTACTCCAGCACATTCACCCTCGCTATGACAGGTATGGCCATCAGTGTGGTGTACGAAAAACAGGTGTACGGGATGATTCAATGGCGTTATGTGGGTTGGCCCTCTCGCGCCCCAAGTATCACGACTGACCACTTGTATATTATCACAAATGGAATTACTGGTTCCTCCTGTAACATGCCAGATGACATAAATTATTGAAAAGTCGTGCTATGGCATTTATTTTCGTTATAAATGACAGAGGTTTGCAGAAAAACATACCATATTGCACGCTATGATTATAACTTGGTGTTCAACGCCTACACATGCTGATGTCTTTTGATGATCAAAACCAACTTGTAAACTGAAATCAAATATCTATTGTCGACAGCATAATCCGTAATCAGAACTGCCATTTCCGTGAGGAATTTCATGTCTACAAACACTGGATGTTAATTCTATGCTTTCTGTTTAGGTCCCAGTATCGCATTGCTTCTGATAAAATTTGATGAAATTTAATAAATAAATAAATAGCATCACTGATATTCAAGGGACATTATTAGTACCTATGTGGTGCGATGTGCAGCAACGATTAGTGGCGCCCCCGCTGCACTTCCCTGTGACGTAAGATCCGGTACAGTATAAATGGTCATACTGACATACGCCGCCTATAGCAGCACACGGGTCTGAAAGTAAAATAGCACTTTTGTTTCTTTATAGTTATCACCTTCAGGCGACATTTTAATTTTTTTTATTTTTTACTCATAAACAGCAATCGTATGAATATCTTTATTTTTTTGGTTCTTACTGTCAAAAAAAAAAAATATATATATATATATAAAATGCCGCTTGCGATGGTAACTAATACTATACAACTATTGACTCTATATGATGTACGTTCATGGGTTTATCAACCAAGGAAAGTAATACAACTTTCCAAGGATTGACTGACTCTTGTGTTAACCTCATATAGAGTCTATAATTATTTCATTTTATGAAGATTTGCTATAACTACCTCCATTCTCATCATAGCCCTGTGATAACATAACATATTTGCATACAAACTGCCGTCTGACTAGTAAGGAAATCACCGGCAGTTGTACATATGACGTTATGCAAAATTTTCATTGCCTGACAAAGGAATTCTGGTGTTTTCTTCTGATGACTACTTTACCGTTGGTCACGGTCATTAGGTTGGTCTGTGATCAGAGAACGGTTTACGAGGTTGACAATTCTTACTTAATATACTTGTGGGACGGAGAGTTCATGCTTGTCTTGTACTACTTGCGGAACGTTACAAGGTTAGGGTTCAACACGTTTGCACGGTTCAGTACTATAAGCATGCTTTTTGTATGACATTTTTATCGAATTCCGCGTTTTTTGCAGCGCCTCTTATTTTGCCGTCATCACTTCAGTTTTACCAAAGTGTCCTGCGACGTTATCTCAGCCGTACTCTGGTCCATCACCCTGTTCTCCAACGACAAAAGGCTATAACAATTTAATTGTAACTTTTAAAAACTTAAATCTAACAATAAAAATTTCAGCAAATAATAAGTGACTTGACGTGTCATTTTCTTGAAAATTTGAACAAATGATTTTCGCATTAATTATTTGCTTTTGCGTTACATAACTAGCGTTTCTGTCGAATTATAAAAGGGTATTCATTATGATTGAATTGTTTCAGCCTTGTTATAAACGTTTCCCTGTCTGCACATATCTCATTTATAAAAGGTGGTGACATGTTGCTTAGGCCAAAGTAATGATTCTGCGTTTTCCTGATAAGCAACGTCAGTCGTTTGGAAAAATAGCATAATAAATATTCCTGCTTATTTGTTTTAACTCATCCTTGCTTTTGTGTATGGCCTGACTATAATATTTTGGAATTAAGACAGATATTCTCCCTGATCGACCTGACAGAACAAATGTCTTTCTTTATATCTCTATTGTGCTTAAAAATATGACAAAGAAAACAAGGAAATGAAATAAGACATATCTAATGTGTAGATATAACAAAAAGGGAATTAAGGAGAGGTATCAAACCTGATGACGTCACACAGCATCTCCGTGACGCGGAGCCGGAACACAAGTTGCTGATGTAGTTACCGGAACAGGTATTGCTATCATATTGGCAGATCCCGCCGTGATTCAGACATGGCGTATCAGAACCTGTATAAAACATGCCCAAGATATTGTGCTTCAGACTTGGTGTAACAGAATGTGTATCAAACATACCCAGGATACAGTGATTCAGACTTGGTGTATCAGAACGTGTATCAAACATAAGGAGGATTCGAGATTCAGACTTGGTGTAACAGAACGTGTATCAAACATACCCATGATACAGTGGTTCAGACGAGGAGTATCAGAACGTGTATCAAACATACCCAGGATATAATGATTCAATGATACATTGATATAGAGGATCTTCCGTGAGTTTCACTTCATATATAAACGTTAAAATGAGTAAATGTAAACCCGATATGGAAACGAATGTAAGAATAGGTTTATCAATATTTTTGCAATATTCGTGTAAAAAATATTTTTGTATTCTATTAATACACATTGATGACATTCTCAACCTTTATTTTGTCATGCTCTGAATCTTTGACGTCATGAAAGAAACTTCTGGAGCCTCCATTTCATATAAGGGAAGTGCATGTGTTAACGCAATGTTTTTTAAGAAAAGGCAAAGCAGGCTAGATTGCATGGTGAAAAATATTCACATGTCAGTGTTGGCCAATGTACAAAATAAGGATGAATATTGCTTCTATCTGATCCGTTCTATGTTGCTTGATGAATTGTACAATTATATATATTTTTAGTCCCCCCTCCTCCTCTTCTTGCTGGTATAATATGATGGGTACCTTTGACAATACAATTCAGTGTGCTAGAAGTAAAAAGTCAGCTCATGTTCAAACACGAGGAGGCACACACTAACATTGCGCGCTCTCCCAAATTTAGTATATAAAGGGAAAAGTTGTACATCTTTATATTTACATGACGTCTTTACCGTAAATCACGTTTTTCATTATTAATTAATTGATTTTCAATTTCATTAAATATTTCAAAAAATGTTTTACAATATATCACAAATACTTTTGAGTATCTATCTGATGATTTAGAATATAAATGCTGAAACTGAACAAAGATTTGGAACCTTTCACATGCCATATGCTGCATCTGCCTTCAAATATACATAATAACAGCACGGTTACAGAAACTAAATGTGGTTAACGGGTCGTGTGATAATAATCCACATTCTGTCATAGAAGGAGTTGTATGTAGCAGTGTACAATGTGTATCAAATAGCTGAAAGTGACAGTTAACAATAAAACAATGGTAATTCTGATACTGACACAGTGCGTGACACCATCCCTAATCTACAGCATTATATCGTAAACAAGAGTGACAAACAGAGGAAATAAAACTCTGTTACATTGGTGCCCATGTAGGGGGAATAATTTTATTGTTACATCTGTTACATCACAAGCATCGCTGTAACCCTTGGTAACTGGAAGACTATGTCTTTGATGGATATTGTATGAGGTGGTAGGTCCCATGTCCCCATGGTAAAACATTAGCCGTAATATACTGTTCGGCTAGAGAAGGTCAAGTAACCGAGAGTTCCAGATACGAACCTAAAGGAGGCATGATGTTAATGACCCTTGTTACTTACCATTACTTATCTTCAATAGTAAGAATAGATACTAAAACGCTACTTACCTACCACATCGATAACACAGAAGTAACGACTATTAGGTACCTTTAATAAAAAAATCTTGTTGACCGCTAATTGTATGGGTTTGTCTATGCAGATTCATATAACCCTTACTTACCGACCGAAATATGGAGCAATGCTACCAGTCCTATCAGTATTACGAGCGACATTTTAAACTTGTCCCCGTTAACGTTGTCTGGCGATAAGATTGCTGTCACAGACGTAACCTTATTTCTAATGTTGCAAGACCATATCTGTATTGAATGTAAAAAATCCTATTCAAACACATGCAATATACCTAATTATTACTTCTGTGAGAACGTAAATATATAATGAACGCTACAGAAATTAAATTTCAAATTCTGTTCACTTATTCACAAAGACAACAATATACTTTCATGTACAACAGCTGATTTACCGTTCTCCTTGTGATCATGCCAGAGTCACTGGGTCAATATTACATAAGCAGCCCTCCTACTCTGGCAACTACACTGTGCTGTAGCGTAGTGTTACCTCAGTTCTCTACAGTCCTTTTCGGGAGGCAATCGTGACATAGAAGAACAAAAGAATTAAACAATGTGCCACTGTAAATTTATCCCGATCTGGTAGTTGTTTAAATAAATATCACCGAAACATCAAGAGTCCATACAAGCAACCTTTTATTGCTGGTTCGTCTACCTGTTTAACCAAATCAAAACTACTTTCTAACACTATCAAATCTGGATTAAACTTATTATTAGCAAAGTAATTGTTTAAAGAAATTTAGTTCGAAATACGAATGTATAGTCAGAAATATTTCTTAGCTATTTTGGATTTTTTTCTGATAGTTCTTAATATGGTAATTATGTTATATGTTTAACTTATGATGGTAAATAAGCAGATGATATCTAAATATACAAGTTCATTATCTCTTCATTATACAACTTATAGCTTTTTTACATGTATTGCATGAAAGAATCATATTGTATGGATGATTCGGTGTTCTATTTTAAACAGAAAACATGAAGATAGAATTATGTTTTGATGCTTGAGAGGGAAGTCCCTTATAGGGTCGTCTGTGTAGTTGTACACTCATTTGCATACATAGTGATGTTTCACTTAAAATTCAATTAAAATAATAACCTTATCGAGAGGTATTCCTGATTAAAATAACAAACTACGTACTAATATTGTCTGGAAAAACTGAAGGATATTGTAAGATTTTGAAGCTATTGGGTTCTAGTGTAGAGGATATGTTACCTAGCCCGTGATACATAATGATACTTAAATACAATTAGTTAAACAGAGGTGAAGACCGAAATTTAATTCTTCAGTTTTACATAATGTAATATCCGACATTATTTCACTGTCTGATTTCGCTATCAGTCTTAAATTAGTGTATTTTGAAATGAACAGATTTGGTTTTAGATTGTATATATAGAATACAAAACGGGAGATTAAATCGCGTCTTTGTAAAGAAGCCGAGAGTGATTTTGCTGGAAAACCTGCTCATGCTTATCATACAGCTTGGTGGAAAGATGCCCATGTTGGTTTCGTTGTAAGAAATAATCGAGATAAGCGACTGGAGTGGAATGAAGCCACAATGACCACGAACAAGCATCACTGCACCCGTTAAATGTCCCGCAAGGAAGCTTCAGAACCACAGTTTTATACCTATCATCTCCTGAAGACTATGGATATATATACATACCCGTGATGAATATTTTTGGTTCGGTCCCTGCTAACATTGTTTTGATCGGGAAGGTACCAGATCACGGATCATCCTATTTCAGTCGTAATTTTATCATTTACAACACTTTTGGCTCGGTTTCGCTGGTTGAATTTAAGTGATATTTTGCGTCGTTCTCTAACGACGTCACACTCGACAACACAGCTGCTCTCCATTTTGAATTGCACATCTTGTCTTGAACCTGATTTGTTAGGAACAGGTCAGTGTTGTAACAAACAGTGAACGTCAGTTATAGAAGTCTAGGAACAGGTCAGTGTTGTAACAAACAGTGAACGTCAGTTATAGAAGTCTAGGATCAGGTCAGTGTTGTAACAAACAGTGAACGTCAGTTATAGAAGTGTAGGATCAGGTCAGTGTTGTAACAGTGAACGTCAGTTATAGAAGTCTAGGAACAGGTCAGTGTTGTAACAAACAGTGAACGTCAGTTATAGAAGTCTAGGAACAGGTCAGTGTTGTAACAAACAGTGAACGTCAGTTATAGAAGTCTAGGAACAGGTCAGTGTTGTAACAAACAGTGAACGTCAGTTATTGAAGTCTAGGATCAGGTCAGTGTTGTAACAAACAGTGAACGTCAGTTATAGAAGTCTAGGAACAGGTCAGTGTTGTAACAAACAGTGAACGTCAGTTATTGAAGTCTAGGATCAGGTCAGTGTTGTAACAAACAGTGAACGTCAGTTATAGAGTTCTATAAACAGGTCAGTGTTGTAACAAACAGTGAACGTCAGTTATAGAAGTCTAGGAACAGGTCAGTGTTGTAACAAACAGTGAACGTCAGTTATAGAAGTCTAGGAACAGGTCAGTGTTGTAACAAACAGTGAACGTCAGTTATAGAGTTCTATAAACAGGTCAGTGTTGTAACAAACATTGAACGACAGTTATAGAAGTATAGGAACAGGTCAGTGTTGTAACAAACAGTGAACGTCAGTTATTGAAGTCTAGGATCAGGTCAGTGTTGTAACAAACAGTGAACGTCAGTTATAGAGTTCTACAAACAGGTCAGTGTTGTAACAAACATTGAACGACAGTTATAGAAGTATAGGAACAGGTCAGTGTTGTAACAAACATTGAACGTCAGTTATAGAGTTCCAGAAACAGGTCAGTGTTGTAACAAACAGTGAAAGTCAGTTATAGAAGTCTAGGAACAGGTCAGTGTTGTAACAGTGAACGTCAGTTATTGAAGTCTAGGACCAGGTCAGTATTGTAACAAACAGTGAACGTCAGTTATTGAAGTCTAGGAACAGGTCAGTGTTGTAACAAACAGTGAACGTCAGTTATTGAAGTCTAGGATCAGGTCAGTGTTGTAACAGTGAACGTCAGTTATAGAAGTCTAGGATCAGGTCAGTGTTGTAACAAACAGTGAACGTCAGTTATTGAAGTCTAGGAACAGGTCAGTGTTGTAACAAACAGTGAACGTCAGTTATAGAAGTGTAGGATCAGGTCAGTGTTGTAACAGTGAACGTCAGTTATAGAAGTCTAGGATCAGGTCAGTGTTGTAACAAACAGTGAACGTCAGTTATAGAAGTCTAGGATCAGGTCAGTGTTGTAACAAACAGTGAACGTCAGTTATAGAAGTCTAGGAACAGGTCAGTGTTGTAACAAACATTGAACGACAGTTATAGAAGTCTAGGATCAGGTCAGTGTTGTAACAAACAGTGAACGTCAGTTATAGAGTTCTACAAACAGGTCAGTGTTGTAACAAACATTGAACGACAGTTATAGAAGTCTAGGAACAGGTCAGTGTTGTAACAAACATTGAACGACAGTTATAGAAGTCTAGGATCAGGTCAGTGTTGTAACAAACATTGAACGTCAGTTATAGAGTTGTATAAACAGGTCAGTGTTGTAACAAACAGTGAACGTCAGTTATTGAGGTCTAGGATCAGGTCAGTGTTGTAACAAACAGTGAACGTCAGTTATAGAGTTCTACAAACAGGTCAGTGTTGTAACAAACATTGAACGACAGTTATAGAAGTATAGGAACAGGTCAGTGTTGTAACAAACAGTGAACGTCAGTTATTGAAGTCTAGGATCAGGTCAGTGTTGTAACAAACAGTGAACGTCAGTTATAGAGTTCTACAAACAGGTCAGTGTTGTAACAAACATTGAACGACAGTTATAGAAGTATAGGAACAGGTCAGTGTTGTAACAAACATTGAACGTCAGTTATAGAGTTCTAGGAACAGGTCAGTGTTGTAACAAACAGTGAACGTCAGTTATAGAAGTCTAGGATCAGGTCAGTGTTGTAACAGTGAACGTCAGTTATTGAAGTCTAGGATCAGGTCAGTGTTGTAACAAACAGTGAACGTCAGTTATTGAAGTCTAGGAACAGGTCAGTGTTGTAACAAACATTGAACGTCAGTTATTGAAGTCTAGGATCAGGTCAGTGTTGTAACAGTGAACGTCAGTTATAGAAGTGTAGGATCAGGTCAGTGTTGTAACAGTGAACGTCAGTTATAGAAGTCTAGGATCAGGTCAGTGTTGTAACAAACAGTGAACGTTACTTATAGAAGTCTAGGAACAGGTCAGTGTTGTAACAAACAGTGAACGATAGTTATAGAAGTCTAGGAACAGGTCAGTGTTGTAACAAACAGTGAACGTTAGTTATAGACGTCTAGGATCAGGTCAGTGTTGTAACCAACAGTGAACGTCAGTTATAGAAGTCTAGGAACAGGTCAGTGTTGTAACAAACAGTGAACGTCAGTTATAGAAGTCTAGGAACAGGTCAGTGTTGTAACAAACAGTGAACGTCAGTTTTAGAAGTCTAGGAACAGGTCAGTGTTGTAACAAACAGTGAACGATAGTTATAGAAGTCTAGGAACAGGTCAGTGTTGTAACAAACAGTGAACGTCAGTTATAGAAGTCTAGGAACAGGTCAGTGTTGTAACAAACAGTGAACGTCAGTTTTAGAAGTCTAGGAACAGGTCAGTGTTGTAACAAACAGTGAACGATAGTTATAGAAGTCTGAGGAACAGGTCAGTGTTGTAACAGTGAACGTTAGTTATAGACGTCTAGGAACAGGTCAGTGTTGTAATAGTGAACGTCAGTTATAGAAATCTAGGAACAGGTCAGTGTTGTAACAGTGAACGTCAGTTATAGAAGTCTAGGATCAGGTCAGTGTTGTAACAAACAGTGAACGTCAGTTATAGAAGTCTAGGAACAGGTCAGTGTTGTAACAGTGAACGTCAGTTATAGAAGTCTAGGGTCAGGTCAGTGTTGTAACAAACAGTGAACGTCAGTTATAGAAGTCTAGGAACAGGTCAGTGTTGTAACAGTGAACGTCAGTTATAGAAGTCTAGGATCAGGTCAGTGTTGTAACAAACAGTGAACGTCAGTTATAGAAGTCTAGGAACAGGTCAGTGTTGTAACAGTGAAAGTCAGTTATAGAAGTCTAGGAACAGGTCAGTGTTGTAACAAACAGTGAACGTCAGTTATAGAAGTCTAGGATCAGGTCAGTGTTGTAACAAACAGTGAACGTCAGTTATAGAAGTCTAGGAACAGGTCAGTGTTGTAACAGTGAACGTCAGTTATAGAAGTCTAGGAACAGGTCAGTGTTGTAACAGTGAACGTCAGTTATTGAAGTCTAGGAACAGGTCAGTGTTGTAACAAACAGTGAACGTCAGTTATAGAAGTCTAGGAACAGGTCAGTGTTGTAACAAACAGTGAACGTCAGTTATAGAAGTCTAGGATCAGGTCAGTGTTGTAACAAACAGTGAACGTCAGTTATAGAAGTCTAGGAACAGGTCAGTGTTGTAACAAACAGTGAACGTCAGTTATAGAAGTCTAGGAACAGGTCAGTGTTGTAACAAACAGTGAACGTCAGTTATAGAAGTCTAGGATCAGGTCAGTGTTGTAACAAACAGTGAACGTCAGTTATAGAAGTCTAGGAACAGGTCAGTGTTATAACAGTGAACGTCAGTTATAGAAGTCTAGGAACAGGTCAGTGTTGTAACAGTGAACGTCAGTTATTGAAGTCTAGGAACAGGTCAGTGTTGTAACAGTGAACGTCAGTTATAGAAGTCTAGGATCAGGTCAGTGTTGTAACAAACATTGAACGACAGTTATAGAAGTCTAGGATCAGGTCAGTGTTGTAACAAACAGTGAACGATAGTTATAGAAGTCTAGGAAGAGGTCAGTGTTGTAATAGTGAACGTCAGTTATAGAAGACTCGGTGTAGGAAGCAGATCTCTGACGTCACAGCGAAAGTTGCCTGAGGAACACAACAGATATATAAACACTGTACTGCGGGACATAATTATATACATTCAACCAAAGCAATTCAAAATAAATTTCAAAAAGCCGATGAAGGTATATTTAGCTCTAAGTTCATTAAATTTCATCATTTCATTGAATATTTTCAAGTTAAGGATTAAATGGACTTCGTCTCTAGTCGAGATCTTATGACAGAACAACAAAGAAGTGTGTGGACATGAGTACGGTTTAATAAATAATGGACAAAGCATTGGAATAAGGTATTATGGTAATCAAGCCGATCTGAAATCTAGACGCGCTTGATTCCTGAGATAAAGTTAATGCTACAAAAGCACTGTGACGGCATGTTGTCACTACATGTAAATGTTCACAATAACTCCTTGCCGTTAATTAGCCAGTTCTGACGTTCTACAGACCTTTTCAAACATCGACCTGCAGTCATTCCAGAACAATATATAAAGGCGATAGTACTTAGGCTAAATTTGAACGAGTCCTTGAATTTGACGTCATACAAACTAAAAAATGTTTGTATAAATTAATAATAAATCTACTAAGTTTATATGAAATGATTGTATTTTTCATTCATTAAGTGTACGTACTTGTTATCAGAAGTGGTTGTATGAATAAAGAACTTGTTTAGTTGAATGAGATGCATGTTTCGGTAGTCTTTGAGGGCTAGGATTAGGGGAAATTGAGATTATAAAAATTAATGACAACACTTGAAAAACCTAACTAAATTCTTCCCGACTTTCCATCTTATAAATCATACTGCTTCCTTCACCGACAAAAATATGACCATCTAATAAAAACAAAAAAGTCCATCCAATACAAGAATTTTTTATTCATCTCCAGGCAAAGAACATGTTTTCTGGAATATTAAAGTTCCTAAAATAACTGCATTATCAGTGACATGTCGGTATAATTGTATGAAATATTAAAGTACTGTTGTCATCACAAAGAGGGTCTCACTGTATATCACAGTCGTATTCTCGTACTGGTTTTAATGGGAGTGCTTGTCAAATTAGGTCACAATGTCCTTCACGTGCTCTTTCAGATACATCGTTAACGTATTGTCTGTAATTAACAAGAAATTTATTTACCATGTCCATCGTACATACGTGTATATACCTAACAGAATTGGAAATCTATGACACGACAACTCTTCTGCATCAGCCGCTTATCTCGATAATGAAGTCAGGATACACAGTTTTATACAATGCTGTGCAATAATCGGGACGATTTCCCTAGAGTGAATTGTCCGTGTTTGGATAGCAACATCCTTGCATTTGATTCGGTAACCATGCGCCTGATGCCAATATCACAATTTTCGTGCACGATGTCAACTGACAAACTCATAAAATCGTGTTTCAAAATATCCAGGAATATAAGAATTATGAGGAAGTTTAACGGTTGTTGTAATTATGACATTGAGAAATACTCTATTTGTTTGTGCGGTATGAAGCTGGAACTATTTGACGGTTGGTATTATATCGTTTGGTTGTTATTTGCCTTTTTCTCATTACTTATTTGGATTGACAAGGATTTACATGGCGGGTGTCTTAGATGAAGCGAAAGACGTTTACTCTTCCAGAACATCTGGTCTTAATCTCTTTGTACAATTTCAGGAGTATCCGTGCAAATCTTTCTTTTGTTCATATATTCACATAGTTTTATTGAATTTGAGTTTAGCATTATGATTATGTTCACATATTGGTATTTTCTTTGTCACACATACTCGTATTTAAAATACACATAAACAAGTACGGAAAACTCGTGTATTCAAAGCTAGACACGACATACACCACACGTTTTTTATATAAACAACCCATGGCACACGGTGACACATGGAAATTGCGAGGTCACATGTACTGTTCTTTCAACTCTCGTTGCTTGCTTTGTTTTATGAAGCTGTAATGAGCAGACGTTCTTTGGCTTGTTCGTGACCATGAACAGTCCTCTCGTTTCTTCATACCAAGTATGTATTTAAACGCCCAGCGGAATTTCGATGAAAATGCACTGTATATGATTGGGTTAATGGCACTGTTCAGATATTGAAAAACTCGACCACACCAGATCAAGTTTAGATATCCCTCTAATCCAAGATTTCGAATGTGTATTTCGTCTGTAAAAGCAAACCAGAAAATAACTATACGTAACGGTAAAGTGCACAGAAAGAATACCACAACAATTACAAAAAGCATACACACGATTTGTCTTTGGTTCCGAAGGGAGGTCCTTCGGAAGCTCTTTGTATTTGATGTTTCCTCTATATGTGTTGACTCTCTGAGAACGCCGTGGATGATGCTACTATAGATGAACAGCATGACGAAGAAAGGAATGACGAAAAACACACAGAAGATGCAAATGACGTAAGCATAGTGCCAAGTGAGGAAGATATGTGTCCGGCACACCTCGATGATTGAGGCATCTCGGTGAAATGTTGCTGTCTCAATGTGGGCTATGATCACCATGGGGACTGCAAAAATGGCGGCCACTCCCCACATACAGGACATCATGACGAGCGTCCGACTGCGACCACAGGTAGAATAGCTTTGTAACGGACGGCATACAGCATAGTATCTCCCGAAACTTACTCCCAGCATGATGAGGATTGATGCGTGTGTGAAAAGCAGCTCCAGGAAAGGTATGGCGCGACCTACAAAAACCAAAGGTTAGACGTGTACCATAACAGTGTAGCATGATTTTCCAGCCATCTAACCCATCAATCACGTAGCTCTACCTGGTGTAGCGGTGTTCCAACAGTGTGACAACGTGTAGAAAAAACATTGTGCAAGGATCAGAATCCATGTCAATACGAACAGACAAGGAAAACTCCACCAACACAGCCTTTTAGATAATGGTGTATATCTGTTATTGATTATTTTCAACATTTGTCTAAAAAATATTGACAGCTATAAATTAATTAATTGATGCGAAATATATGATTATATTTCAGGGTGTACTTTGAAGTCCATCATGTGAACTTCGTATAACTTCTTACCATCTCGTCACTCTATTTTCGACTTTAGTGTACTTAAAATGATAGTCGATTCCTTACCATCTCGTACAATACGTCATCAGTGTTATTATGCTCCACACTGGTCATTTTTCTGATGAAGGTGACCATGTCGAAACGTCATACTCTAATCTTCAACTGGTTTTGCTATAAGGTGAAGGTGACCGTGTAGTCATCGAAAAGTCACAATCTAATCTTCTACTGGTTGTGTTATGAGAACTTCTCTATATGGTTATATATCTGTTCACGAACCTGATCATGATTACGACCACACTCAATGGTAATATTTCATGCACTGATTAAGTACATTTCTGTATCGACTTTTAAATGTTCAAATGGGACTAATTGCTACCCTTTTATAAATATATGGAGGATGAAATACAAAACTTTTATGGGAAAGAGTCTATTTTTAAAAATATGCGAATGTTTTATGGAAATACATTGTAACACAGACACCACATCAAACAAAAAAAAATGTATTCTGGCATAAAGAATGAACAAAGCACACACAAGTGAATAGCTTCTTAATGAACTAATAACTGGATACAGCAGAGCCAAACAGGGGATTAAATTGCACCATACAGCTGTTTCGTCCTTTTAAGATTTGTCAGTGACAACAAGAGCTTAAATTTTGAAGCCTAGGAGACGATTGAAGAAAATCCAAATTGATCGGAAGAAAGTCGAAACCTAGATGTGGCAGTTCACTGGCTCCATAATTCAATATGTTTATTTTTTATATCAGATCACTTTAGAAGAACGTAAGATACACGTGTTTATTCTGAACCGTGCACCATACTATTCAAATGAATTAAAACGTGGCATGCAGCTTACGGCAAACCTCGGGGACTTTAAGTACACTTTAGTGTCTACTACCTACAACAGAACCATTAAGGACGCCTCTGACACCACTTAATGTAAACCTGGAACTAATGGCGAGATGAGCTGGGTATTCCAAACCTGCCATTAGCGGTCACCTGATATATCAAACAAATTAAGTTACACTGGTGATCAGACAGCCAGTGTAACAGCCATAACCTGGCCGCAAATAAGTGACGATATCAAATAACGTGAGAAATTTTAATGTGTACACGAATAGACAATGATAATGTTTGATTCATAAATAGCTTTGTCTTCGAGTTTAAGTCGGTACTGAATTATCTGAAAAGTTGTTTTTTTATTTGTTGGCCACACAAAAACTACTATTTAGAAAATTACTCAGGCAGTCAGCTAGATAAAGTTAAGTATAAATGAAAGTAAAGTAAAAATTAAGCTGTTTCTCAATATTATCGTTAATGTCACATATTACCTATCCAACTTACTCAATGTCATAAGAAAAAAATTAACTCAACATAGATAAAAAAAACCAGGGTAAATCTACGAATAAAGAAGATATTTATTTGAAAGCACAAGAAAAGTATGAATAACAATAAATAAGAATAAGAACGAGCGTTACAGAAGGGTATATCATCCTAGGTAATTTTTATATCCTAAAATATGGCGCAAGACGTAATATAACGAAATACGTAAACTAATGAGATTTCGGAATTTAATTACCTTTATGACAGCGAACACAAAATATGTCCTTCGTCTTTATCAGTCTGTGTATCTACTGAACTAGACGTGTTCACCGGTCAGCTGTCTATTACAGAAACCGTGATATTAAGAACAGCCACGAAAATATAAAATCGAAAGTGTAGTTTATTTTATTTACATGCACAGGTGGTCTATATCAGCGACAAAATCCCAAATTCCGTGATCTCTTATCCTAAATTAACCTTCGAGTTATTTCCTGTGTATAATCATCCTAGACTCCAAGTAACCTCCGTTCCTTGTTCTTCCAAACCAAAGCAACCTCCCTTTCTTGTTCTTCCACCCCGAAGTAACCTCCGTTTCTTGTTCTATCACCCCAAAGTAACCTCCGTTCCTTGTTCTTTCACTCCTAAGTAACCTCCGTTCCTTGTTCTTCCACCCCAAAGTAACCACCGTCATTGTTCTTCCACCCCAAAGTAACCACCGTTCCTTGTTCTTTCACTCCAAAGTAACCTCCTTTTCTTGTTCTTCCAAACCAAAGTAACCTCCGTTTCTTGTTCTTTCACCCCAAAGTAACCTCCGTTTCGTGTTCTTTCACCCCAAAGTAACCTCCGTTCCTTGTTCTTTCACTAATAAGTAACCTCCGTTCCTTGTTCTTTCACTAATAAGTAACCTCCGTTCCTTGTTCTTTCACTCATAAGTAACCTCCGTTCCTTGTTCTTTCACTCCTAAGTAACCTCCGTTCCTTTCTCTTCCACACCAAAATAACCTCCGTTCCTTTCTCTTCCACCCAAATGTTCCTTTCTTTCATTGTTCATCCAACCCGAAGTAACCTCCGTTTCTTGTTCTTTCACTCAAAAGTAACCTCCGTTCCTTGTTCTTCCACCCGAAGGTAACCTCCGTTCCTTGTTCTTTCACTCCTAAGTAACCTCCGTTCCTTGTTCATCCAACCCGAAGTAACCTCCGTTCCTTTCTCTTCCACCCAAAAGTACCCTTATTTCATTGTTCATCAAACCCGAAGTAACCTCCGTTCCTTGTTCTTTCACTCCAAAGTAACCACCGTTCCTTGTTCTTTCACTCATAAGTAACCTCCGTTCCTTGTTCTTTCACTCCTAAGTAACCTCCGTTCCTTTCTCTTCCACACCAAAATAACCTCCGTTCCTTTCTTTTCCACCCAAAAGTACCTTTCTTTCATTGTTCATCCAATCCGAAGTAACCTCCGTTTCTTGTTCTTTCACTAAAAAGTAACCTCCGTTCCTTGTTCTTCCACCCAAAAGTAACCTCCGTTCCTTGTTCTTCCAAACCAAAGTAACCTCCGTTCCTTGTTCTTCCAAACCAAAGTAACCTCCGTTTCTTGTTCTTCCAAACCAAAGTAACCTCCGTTTCTTGTTCTTCCAAACCAAAGTAACCTCCGTTCCTTGTTCTTCCAAACCAAAGTAACCTCCGTTTCTTGTTCTTCCAAACCAAAGTAACCTCCGTTCCTTGTTCTTCCAAACCAAAGTAACCTCCGTTCCTTGTTCTTCCAAACCAAAGTAACCTCCGTTCCTTGTTCTTCCAAACCAAAGTAACCTCCGTTTCTTGTTCTTTCACTCCAAAGTAACCTCCGTTTCTTGTTCTTTCACTCCAAAGTAACCTCCGTTTCTTGTTTTTCCACCCCAAAGTAACCTCCGTTTCTTGTTCTTCCACTCCAAAGTAACCTCCGTTTCTTGTTCTTTCACTCCAAAGTAACCTCCGTTTCTTGTTCTATCACCCCAAAGTAACCTCCGTTCCTTGTTCTTTCACTCCTAAGTAACCTCCGTTCCTTTCTCTTCCACCCAAAAGTACCCTTCTTTCATTGTTCATCCACCCCGAAGTAACCTCCGTTTCTTGCTCTTTCACTCAAAAGTAACCTCCGTTCCTTTTTCTTCCACCCAAAAGTAACCTCCGTTTCTTGTTCTTCCACCCCAAAGTAACATCCGCTCCTTGTTCTTCCAAACCAAAGTAACCTCCGTTCCTTGTTCTTTCACTCCTAAGTAACCTCCGTTCCTTGTTCTTTCACTGTTAAGTAACCTCCGTTCCTTGTTCATCCAACCCGAAGTAACTTCCGTTCCTTTCTCTTCCACCCAAAAGTACCTTTCTTTCATTGTTCATCCAACCCGAAGTAACCTCCGTTTCTTGTTCTTTCACTCAAAAGTAACCTCCGTTTCTTGTTCTTTCACTCAAAAGTAACCTCCGTTTCTTGTTCTTTCACTCAAAAGTAACCTCCGTTCCTTGTTCTTTCACTCAAAAGTAACCTCCTCTCCTCGTCTTCCACCCCAAAGTAACCTCCGTTTCTTGTTCTTTCACCCCAAAGTAACCTCCGTTCCTTGTTCTTCCAAACTAAAGTAACCTCCGTTTCTTGTTCTTTCACCCCAAAGTAACCTCCGTTTCTTGTTCTTTCACTCCAGAGTAACCTCCGTTTCTTGTTCTTCCACCCCAAAGTAACCTCCGTTTCTTGTTCTTCCACCCCAAAGTAACCTCCGTTCCTCGTCTTCCACCCCAAAGTAACCTCCGTTTCTTGTTCTTTCACCCCAAAGTAATCTCGGTTCCTTCTCTTCCACCCCAAACTAATCTGCGTTCCTTCTTTCCTCTCAAAATTAACCAGCTTTCCTTGATTCTCAAAAACAGTATATTTTATTTATTTGTAGCAATAAGTGACAAGTCAATAATAAAATACACACAAATACTTACAACGAAGACTACAGTTGTTTTGTCTTTCCGATATAGTTTACATACTTTCTAAATACCAAGGTGAGTAACGTAGAGCCGCTGTTGACATATAGGTATCTTATTCATTGCTTCCTGTGGTACACGGGTGTTCTTTGATGGCTATAATAGTCACGCTTAATTTGTTTATTGCGATAGCAGCCGGCAGTTAATCCACTTAATCGCCGGACCAAAAGGAAATATATCCGTTACCCTTTCAAATTCTTCTTCCCTGGGAAGTGCTAGAACATTGTTTAATGATATCGAGTACTTACCACTTAGTTTTTTATTCCCTAAAACAATGACATATATACGTCTACACTGTATTGGTGGTATCAGAGCCCTACTGTTATCTAGTACGTAAGGACACGCCATTAACAAACAACATCCGCTGTAACATGACGAAATTATAAAACATAACAGTGGTTCGCAGGGATTACAGAAATATCTCGCTCTATATTCATTGATAGTTAGATAAAGCACTTTTCCACAAAACAGCATCATAATTAGGAAATCCTACCCAAGGAAGACAATTCGCTAATGTGTTTCCCTCAGCTAGTAATCATTTTTATTATCTGCCATACAATGCGAGAACAATGGTGTAGAAGTGCACTTTGTGACGACCATCTAAGCTAAGCATTACATACCCCCAACTGGGGCTAGTTTTCTGTAGGGTAAATTAAAGTATACGAGTTTCAGTGTCTGTATATGGTAATAATCTCAAGGGTCAACACTTAATAGTGTAAATACAAATAAAATACAAACAAAATTTCAATGTATCAAATCGCATCTTCCCATTTTAACATCATTAAATCACACAAAAGTACAGTTGGCCTATGAAATTAACCACAGGCTACCACTCTAGGAGCACGATTAGGTCCCAAATTCCTTGATCTGCCGCCCCCAATTAACATCGATTACTGATTTCCAGCGTCAAATAAATATGTGTTCCTTCAGTTCCCAACACAAAGTTACCTGTTGTTCTCGATCTCCCACCAGAGAAACCTCCGTTTTTTATTCCTAGCTCAAAGTTAACCACTGTTTCTTGATTCTCAATATCAAATTAACCTTTGTGTCTTGATTTTCAATCCCAAAAATTGTACAAAAGTCTCACAAATAAATGACATCATTTCACATAAAATTAGATTAGATACAGTAGAGCAAGATAATGAATTAAACTGCACTATTTAGCTGATTCCTCCTTCTAGGACTCTCCAGCAATGTCAAAGACCTGAAAATATCCACGTTCCTTGATCCTCACTTCCCTCCCCACCCCCCTTCCCCCATACTCCAATCAAATTCGTTCCTTGGTATCCCGTTCCAAAGCAACCTTTCTTTCTTCTTTTCCCACAAATTCTTGATTTCTGATGTAATGTTTGTTTCTTGATTTTCCATCGTTCATTGATCTCTGCTGCACCCTAGTAACCTCCGTTCCTCGATCTCTCTTGCCCCAAATTACGATTCGTTTCTTGAATTCTCGTTCCAGACTAAACTCCGTATCTTAATCTCCAGCCCAAAAGTAACCTCCATTCATTCATATTCTGTTCCTCCCTTCCTTCCTTTATCTCCCGCCCCACATTGACTCTCCGCTCGTTTATCTTACAACCCTAAGTAACCTCTGTCGCTTATATCACACACAATAATATCCTATGTTCCTTACATCTCCAAAGTACATCTGGTCCTGATGTCCCACACCAAAATAACCCGTTTTCCTGATATCCAACACCAAAATAACCTCTGTTCCTGATATCCCACACCAAAATAACCTCTGTTCCTGATATCCCACACCAAAATAACGTCTGTTCCTGATATCCCACACCAAAATAACCTCTGTTCCTGATATCCCACACCAAAATAACCTGTGTTCCTGATATCCCACACCAAAGTAACGTCTGTTCCTTATATCCCACACCAAAATAACATCGGTTCCTGATATCCCACACCAAAATAACCTCGGCTCCTGATATCCCACACCAAAATAACCTCGGTTCCTGATATCCCACACCAAAATAACCTCTGTTCCTGATTTCCCACACCAAAATAACCTCTGTTCCTGATATCCCACACCAAAATAACCTCTGTTCCTGATATCCCACACCAAAATAACCTCTGTTCCTGATATCCCACACCAAAATAACCTCGGTTCCTGATATCCCACACCAAATAACCTCGGTTCCTGATATCCCACACCAAAATAACCTCGGTTCCTGATATCCCACACCAAAATAACTTCTGTTACTGATATCCCACACCAAAATAACCTGTTTTCCTGATATCCGACACGAAAATAACGTCTGTTCCTGATATCCCACACGAAAATAACGTCTGTTCCTGATATCCCACACCAAAATAACGTCTGTTCCTGATATCCCACACCAAAGTAACGTCTGTTCCTGATATCCCACACCAAAGTAACGTCTGTTCCTGATATCCCACACCAAAGTAACCTGTGTTCCTGATATCCCACACCAAAGTAACGTCTTTTCCTTATATCCCACACCAAAATAACCTCGGTTCCTGATATCCCACACCAAAATAACCTCTGTTCCTGATTTCCCTCACCAAAATAACCTCGGTTCCTGATATCCCACACCAAAATAACCTCGGCTCCTGATATACCACACCAAAATAACCTCTGGTCCTTATATCCCACACCAAAATAACCTCGGTTTCTGATATCCCACACCAAAATAACCACTGTTCCTGATATCCCACACCAAAATAACCTCGGTTCC